CGGAAATCCCGTCGGCAATGTGTAATTGTCTCAACGGATCGATTCGGTTTTACGTGATTAAAGAAAAACAGTGTTTTACTGTCTGTTTTCTTAAAACTGTCATATATCTTTTGCATACGAACTCCGTTTTGGACGTTCTTTATATTTTTTGAAACAGGGGAACATGTACTATGAGTCTAGAATAATTGTTTCGCTTAAAACTGCTTATTACAAATTTTCAGTTTTTCAGACGTATTACTAAGGTTATAGTTCGCGTTATTTGATTCGTTTGAGATTTTATACATTTGGAAGTATGTTATCATCAAGTATCATATAATAGTTGAAATGAACTTATTTATTTTACTTAAGATGCACTAAAACTCAATAAGTCAAGTTACAACGAGATTCACGGTGAGTTGGCCGTTTACAATATTAGCCATAAATTTCGGGATGTCACGGGTATTTTGGGGAACTTACTAAGCTTTGTGCTTACGATTTCCAGTTTATGTTTCAGGTACTTCTGTTTTCAAAGGGAAGAGTCGGGGATGATTGCAGAGCACACACCACTCGATTCCGCATTTTGTGATTCACTTTGATTATTGCAATGTATTGATAAAATTGATTACCTTGGCTTATGACAACGATATGGTTTACTGTTTTATAAACTTTAAAATGAAAAATTTTTTGGGTCTTATTTTGGGACGTTATACTTCAAAGTTGAGATATCAAAGCTTAAATATTTCAGATATTTTTTAGACTTTAATTCTGAATTGTATGTATCTTTGACAGATAAATCATATGAAAGGGATCTCGTTAGAGTATCGTAAAATTCTGACTTCGATATGGTGGCTTTCTTTAAAGTTTAAAGTATGATTTTTGGTGTTACGGTAATTAATTTTATATGTTTGTGTTAAGAATCTTTACTTTTGTTGGTGAACTTGATTTATATGTTATTTACTTTTATTTGGAAAATTAATTTTGCAAGTTATAATATTATAGATGATGTTAGATTAGTTAATCATGAAATATGATAAAGTTAAAAACGTATTCATTTTAATGTATCAAACCCAAAAACATATTCATTTTATTATTTTAATGAGGTGTAATGTATCAAACCTAACAACATATCTGTTTTAATGAGTTGTATCAAACCCAAAAACGCGTTTTAACGAGTTGTACCATATACATGTAAAATTGTACCGGTCCAAGAAATGGAAAACCTGGACCTTGACCTGGACTTGGACCTAAACCCGATAAGCCTCGTCTGGTCCAGTCCACGGTCTACAATATTCTCCGAAAGCTGGTCTGATCCAAAATTCGGTTCGGTCCAAATGTTCACCCCTAAACTAAAGGATATGTAATAGCTCTTAGCGAGGGTTGGGGGTTGTTTATTTAACACAATAAACACCTTTTAATAAAATAGTTTATTAGTTTATGTGGTTACAAAAAATAGTTTTTAAAAAAAAAGTATTTAAATTATTTTATATGGATGTAAAAAACTATAAGTTAATAAGTTTTTTTTTAAAATGCTTGGACTAGTTTATATGTTTAAAATGATAAAAAAATGGTTAACATAAAATAAAAGAAGAATTTCATTTATATCTTTATAAATTTTAATTATTATTTTTATATCCTTATATATTTTAAAATTACTTGTACATGTCTATTAAATTATAAAACTCATATTTATATCTAAATTTTATAATTTAATTTTACTTAATTTAATATTATTATTTTTATCTAAAATTCAAAATTTATATGATTGTACTAAAACACAATTTCTTAATTATCAAGATTTTCTTTCTCTCGTCTTCAAGTTATAAGGCTACCCGAAGTGGATAGTAGAAAGGCGCGTGGGAGCTGACGTGTCAGCCCCCTTCACGCGTGAACACCACCCCACCTTCTGGTGGGTTGCTTGTTCCGTGGAGCTGGAGACGGACGAAGACGCTTGATTTGATTGGGGAAAAGCTTTTTGACCATTGAAGTTTTGACCGTTTGTAAAAAAAAAAATTAATTAATTAATTAATTACTTACTTACAATCCTTTCTCTATATATATCAACATTTTTTCTCATTTCAAACACACCACACACTTTGAACACAAACATATACACTCATCAAAAAATACACTTTCCTCCATGGATCCAAACCAAAATAACCCACCCACCCCGAACACCCCAAACACTCCAAATGACCCGTTAGCGAATATTGGCTATATGCAATTGTTATCATCCCCCGTTCAACAACAACCTCTATTCACCAATCTTTCATACCACCCACACTACTACCAACAACAACCACCACCATAATTTGTTCAATCTCAATTTCAACCCTTTCAACAACAACCTGCTCCGCGATTTCAGCCCCAAACTTCACAACCATCTGAAGTTCCATTATCTCAATCTCAACCCGTAAACCTCGACATTGAAGACGACGACGAACGGGTTCAAGAAACACAACCAAGTCGTAGAAGGCAAAAAAAATCAAAGGATTCAACAAAAAAGAAAATTACCCAATGGACCGAGGAGGAGGAGGCAACTTTAGCTAAAGCTTGGATTGCCATATCACAAGACGGGGGTGTCGACAACGCGCAATCGGGACAAAGCTTTTGGAATCGTGTTTTAGACCACTTCCACACGTTATTAGGAAGGCAAACGAGCCGGACATATGACTCGGTCAATGCTAAATGGCGTGACCTTAGAGCGACGTGTACCAAATTTAACGGTGTATTTGACAATCTAAAAAATATGCATTGAAGTGGTAGCAACGATTTCAACATTTTATCAACGGCGTTGCACCAATACAAAATTACCAACAATGGTAAACCTTTTGGCAACCAAAAAGTGTGGGAAGTTTGTCGCAATGGCCCAAAATGGGTCCTTTATCCAAAAACGGCGCATTCGGGATCTACTACCGGTTCCAACAAAAGGCCGAGAACGTCGGAGTCGGACATCGGTGCTAACCTCAACCTCAATGATGAGTTCGACGCCACCGAGGGGGAGGGTCCATCGGACGTCCATCTTCGTCGACCACCAGGAAGGGACAAAGCGAGAAAGGGGGCTTCGTCTAGCGGGAAATCAACCAACGATGACGTATTAGCGGAGAAAATCGAAAAAACTCTACATTTTTTAGAAAAAAAATTTGATTCAACGGAGGAGCAACGCCGTCGACAATTGGCACTCACCAATCTTCAAATCGTAAACACAATGCCGCAACCAAATCTCGACCCGGAAAATTTAAGGGTGCTTTTGAAAATTCAACAAGAAGTTCTCGACCAATATCGCAACTAGATTTGATGTTTTTTAGTAATTTAGGTTTAATTTCCTAAGTTATTTTTTATGTTTTTTTAGTATTTTAGTTTTAATTTTCTATGTGGTTTTATATTTTTCTAGTTTAGATTTAATATTCTATGTTTTAAATTATGTTTTAAATTATGTAATGTGGTTTTAATTAATATAAAATATTTTATTATATTTTAAATTATGTTTTTATCTAATTTAGTCATAAAAGATAAAAAAAGTTATGTATTTTATAAAATATGTTATTTATTTAATATAATGTTAAAAGAATAAAAAAAATAAAACAGTAAATGTTGTTAGTGGTGACCATTTCCTATGTGGAGTGGGTTGGTGGTGAAGGTGACGTGGCGCAGAGGTGGCACCACTTTTCCGGTGAGTTGGTGGTGACCACTCCACATAGCCTAACCGAGAACAATTAGATTAGGTCTTACTTATTAATTTCTAATGCTCACCTTGAGGTGACATCCATGAAATTCTCAAAAGCAAATCGATCCAATGAATTATTGAATTTAACCTAAATTAAATAGGAGTGGGGACTTACGGAGAGAAAAATGAAGAAAAGTCTTTCCTTTTGTTTTGTGAGGCATATTTAATTAAAAAGATTTATGTTCCTTTTTTTCTTTTAGATGAATATTACTAATTACTTGTATAGATTTAGTACGCAAAAGATTTAATTGGAAAAAATATTTTAGTATAATTATGTAGAATCTTGTATTTTAGATAAAAAATTTCTGATTAAATTAGAGTAAATTACACGAGTGGTCCCTATGGTTTAGGGTAATTTGTGCATTTGGTCTCTAACTTATTTTTTTAACTCGGAAGGTCTATACTGTTTGTTTTTTGTTATGCGTTTGGTCAATGTCTTACCTAAAAACACTATTTTGCTCTTGATTTTTTAATTTATTTAAATAAACAGACCCCCCAACCCCACCTCACACCTTACCTTACCTATCCCACCATTTTCCCTATTTAAATAATAGTCTTTTTTAGGTAAGACAGTGACTAAACATAACAAAAACAAACTATAGGGATCTTCCAAGTTAAAAAAATAAGTTAGGAACTAAGCACGCAAATTACCCAAACCATAGGGACCATGTGTAATTTACTCATTAAATTATAAGTTTGAATATAAATGTGAGTTTTATAGTTTGATATATATATATATATATATATATATATATATATATATATATATATATATATATATATATATATAATTTTAAAATGCGTAAAGATATAAAAATAATATTTAATCAAAATCTTTAAAAAGATATTTATATGTTTGTTAAAGGTTAGTTTGAATGACGATAAAATTTTCTTTTCATTTGTATAAGTTCAAAGCTTTTTGTCATAAGTTAAAAAATATAACTTCTATAAAATGACCTTTTGAAAATAATAATATATATTTTTTAAAAATACTTATCAGACTTATAAAAAACTTTTGGGTGTTATTATACATATCCCTTCACTCAAATAAATTATCAAATCATAGGTTACACAAAACATTATTACATATGATATAGAAGACTACATTAAACATTTTAGAGATACTTGTAGAAATTCCTAAACTTTTTTAAAATTATTAGTTTTTTGAAAAACTAAAAAATAAAAAAGTATTTCGATACACTTATTCCATCCTTCCACCCAATTTTAGTAAAATAGCGGGAGTATGGAAAAATAAATAGAGAACTGCGCCATCAACTTTGTCTTCATCCAGCCACCTTCTCCTTGAAAGTTGAAATCTCACCAAATTCATGTGTTTATCACCGTTCAACCATGAATTCATCTCAAATAATGAGTTGGTAAACATCTCAACCAACCCCAAAACACAAATCACGCTCAACTTTATCAGCCCATTTCCCTAAAACAGACTAATCGAATCGGCTTCATATGAAACGGCTATGAAACAGAGAAAAAAAAATCCTAATTAAGTAACAAACCCGCATAAACCAAGCAGCTGCCTCAAATCACTTCGAGGTTTGTTTATATATCTGGGTTTTTCATCTTTTTTTAATGTTATTGAAGCGTTAGATTTTGTAATTTGCATTTGGCGAATTACTGGTTTACTTTTTTTCTTCTTGAAAGTCATTTATTCAGTATTAATTTCATTGAATTTGGTGTTATGGAGTTTTCATTGTTGACGATTGTTGTTTAGAAGACTTCTAATTCATATACCGGAATCTGAATTTTTTGATTTAAGTAGTTTCTTTCGTCTAAGTTAAGAATTAATGGCGTCATGACTTTGCTTTTACTTTTAGGGTTTATGTAGTAGCGGAGAAGACATCGCAAACAAGAAAAAAAATGGGTTTTTAATTATTTCTCACTTGTAATCAGAATCTCTAACAGGCTAAGCTAGCTGTCGAAGCTTTTAGTTAATCCATCAATGGAGTTTTGGACTTCATTGTTTCTGTTTCTATCATCAATTTCTGTGATTTTGGCACAAAATGTGGAAGAGGGACATCTAGTGATCAATGGGAGTTTACCAATGGCTCATACAGATGCAAATTATATTTGTGCTACTATTGATTGGTGGCCAAATACAAAGTGTGACTACTACCATTGCCCATGGGGATCTTCATCTGCTTTAAATCTTGTAAGCATGTTCTTAAAGTGCTTTTTATGATGTCGAATACTTTTCAATATCTTAATTTATTCTTATTTTTATATTCTCAGGATTTATCTCATCCTTTTCTAACGAAAGCGGTTCAAGGTTTGTTTTTATTGGGTTTTTTTGAGTGCCAACTTTTGTTTATTGAGCCTTGTAATATAAGCCACTAAGTTTTACTAAAGTTGATTTCTTTTTGCATGACATACAATCCAATGACTTACTAGTTGATGATGTGGCGTTCAGTCGATGTGACATCGAGTCCCACAACTTAATAATTTATTCTTATAGTTTTTACTACAAATAATTACATAATAATTAAGTTCATCACCTTAAATGATGTGTCATTCAGTCTCTCAACTTACTGATCGATGATGTGACATTCGGTTCCACGATTGATGATGTAACATTCGGTCCCACCTTAAGAATTGATTCCTTCATGTTTTACTAGAAATAATTTTCTTTTTTATGGCATTCAATCCCCCAACTTACTGCCTGCTACGATGATGTCATATTAAATCCCACAATAGATGATGTAACATTCATTCTGACAACTTACTGACAGATGATGTGACATTCAGTCCCACAACTTACTAAATGATAATGTATCATTTGGTCTCACAACTTAACACCTAATTCTTTCAGGTTTTACAAAAAATATAATTTCTTTTTAATGGCATCAACAGCTTTCGAGTGCATGAGAATACGAGTTGGAGGTTCCTTACAAGATCAAGTATTGTACAACATAGGTAATTTCACAAGTCCTTGCCACCCTTTTAAAAAAATGAAAGGGGGACTATTTGGGTTCTCTAAAGGGTGTCTTAATATGAGTAGGTGGGATGAATTGAACCAATTCTTCAACAAAACAAGGTAAGTTTTTACCTTTTACCTTTTACCTTTTTGTTTCATATATTAAAATAAATGCAATGTTTGACTAATAAGCGGTTGTTTGACGATTAGTTAAATATCTAAAATACCCTTCATCAACAAACATGTTCAATGTAGAGCACTTGTGACATTTGGCTTGAATGCCCTCCATGGAAGACACCAAGTTAAAAAAGGAGTATGGGGAGGAGATTGGAACTATAACAATGCCCGTGATTTCATAAAGTATACTGTTTCCAAGGGGTATCAGATAGACTCATGGGAATTTGGTATAATTTTGTAGATAGTTCTTTAGATATGCTTCTTTCTCTTAACTTATTATAAACAAAAGTGATTTTTTTTTTTTTTTTGTTTTAACTATCGGAAAAAGGAAAAGAAAAAGGTGATATGCATCATAATCATCATTCTCTTGTTGATTGATGTAGGAAATGAGTTAAGTGGCAAGGGTATTGGTGCAATGGTGGATGCTGAGCAGTATGCAAGCGATGTAATTGAACTCAGGGGTATAATCGACAATTCATACACCAAATTCCAGCCAAAACCATTACTCGTAGCACCAGGAGGCTTCTTTGATAAACAATGGTTTTCCAAGTTGCTTCAAGTTTCAGGTTCAGAAATTGTCAATGTCATGACACACCATATGTACAATCTAGGCCCAGGTTTGACTTTCTAATGTCAAATCTCTTATTCTTTTTAACTTCAAGATTGACAATAAACATTTCCTTTATTCAAAAAGACAAATAACCCATTTCACTACACAAAAAATAATACAAGATCGACATTTCATCGATAAAAAAAACCGAAAGAATATAAGTTTAATTTGACTCCAGAAAGTATTAGCTTTGACTTTCTAAAGTCAACAGGTGTTGATCCGAATTTGGTAAAAAAGATTCTAGACCCTCATTTTTTGAGTCGAGCATCTGTCACATTTAATGCTCTTCATGAAACTATTAAAACGGATGGCCCATGGGCTTCTTCATGGGTCGGGGAATCCGGTGGGGCCTACAACAGTGGTGGTCTTCATGTTTCAGACACTTTTGTTAATAGCTTTTGGTAATCATATAACAAATTCTCATTCATTTTCTTACATTTTTTAATTGTAAAGTTAAGCTTTTAAAGAATGTAATATTTATAGGTACTTGGATCAGTTAGCAATGGCAGCTAAGTATCACACAAAAGTATATTGCAGACAAACATTAATCGGTGGAAATTATGGTCTCCTCAATAGAACAACATTCATACCTAACCCTGATTACTACAGGTAAAAATCTTTAATTTTTATCAAAAAGGTTATATGAATTTTGTCTCTAAACTTAGCTAAAGTGACAATCTTGATGTGAAGTGCTCTTCTTTGGGATCGACTTATGGGTTCAGGAGTTCTTGATGTTGAAAGAGTAAATATTCCACCACATTTGCGCACTTATGCACATTGTTCAAAAGCAAAAGTAAGTTCATATTCATGTTCATGTTTATGTATTAAATTATTAATAAACCGAATGTTAATAATAAATTGTTTGTGATCAGAGAGGAATAACTGTGCTTTTGATCAACCTAAGCAACCAAACAAACTTCAAACTTGATGTTCACAACATCATGAACATGAATTTGCATATAAAGACTTCAAGAAAGAAAGCATCATTTGTTGATGATCTCAAGAAAACGGTTTCATGGGTTGGATTGAAATCAACGGATGAAAATTTGACACGAGAAGAGTACCATTTAACCCCACAACATGGAGATATAACAAGTAAAACAATGCTTTTAAATGGAGTTCCATTAAAGTTGACTGAAAATGGAGATATACCATGTTTTAAACCGGATTTCGTGAAGGTTGATTCTAAGATTTCTATTGCTCCTTTGTCTATCAAGTTTTTGAAGTTTCCAAACTTTGATGCACCAGGTTGTTCATGATGCATTGTTGTTTGTACCTTGACATATACTTGATGATGTTTGTGGTGTGTTAAACTTTTATTTGTATATATATGTACATTATTAGTTGCAAGTGTAAAAAAGAGTTTGCAAGCTACTTTTTGTAACACTATCTTATGTGATTATGATAATTTAATATATCATCATCACATTGAAAAGACACATATAAACCCTATAAAAAGTTAATTGGAAAACTGTAAGGTAAACAATCATCTACATAATAAATAAAAGGGAAGTAGTAAGGAGATATCGTTTTCTATATTTTTCCATAAAATATATAAAAATAACCAAATTCATTCAAACCAATTCAATTATTTTCCAAGAAGACGCCGAGTTCGTTGATTAGCACCCCTTACTCTGAAATTGATCTCATCAACATCATCTTGAAGAGGATTAAGGGCTTTATCTTGCCTACAAAATTCAAAAAAAAAAAAAAAAAAAATCAATTATTTTTTTCAATCATTTAAATCATAAAATCCATATTATAAACATTAACCTTTCAATTTCAGAACCCATGTCAACAGCCATTTCCTTCAATTCCCCCAATATGTTACTCAATTCGGAGAGCCCATCATCCTGCTTCTCCTTTTCGTACTAAGAGAGATGAGGGGGTAAATTAGTCATTTCATGGGAGGGGTATATTAGTCATTTAGTGTTAAATGATACCTCAACTTTCTGCATTGCATCAGCGGATTCAGGAAGTGGGATCCTCGAACGTGAAGCTCCCTTATTTGGACTTGTTGTAAGTCCCAATTTTTCTCTTTGCTCCAAATGGTTACCCTTTCTTCTATCAGGATCATCTGTTAATAAATAGATAATCAAAACTCAATAAAGCAATCAAATTTACAAATTATTCATGAAAACAATATCAAATTTAAGAAAATAATAATTAATTACCTCTGATGCTTGTAGGACCTCTTATTGTCTGACCCTTTTTGGGCTTCCAAGTCCTAGAAAAAATGCCTCCAAGACTTCCCAATAGCTTCTCTCCCTAAAAAACGAATGAAAATAAATAAATAAAGATTTGATCATTTTTGTTCATAAAAAAGAACATACCCTACTGAGATCTTGCTCAATATTTGCTGCAGCATTGTGGGTTCTGTTAATCTGTTCACCTTGTTGATGCAAGGTGAGCATGGTGTTAGTGGCACTTTCTCTAATATCTTCTGCAATTTTTAATGCACTATGCACATACTTTGTAGTTTCTTCAGCTTTATACGCAGCATAATGTTCCAATTCTTGGACACTTTGGTTATCTACACCACCAGAATCAATGAAATCGTTTTTGTATTTGTTTCTTGATGCATACCCAGATGAATTCGAGCCCCCTTTAATTTCATTGTAATCGAAAAGACTGGTTTTTGAATTTGGGGTTAATGAAGGTTCGGAAGAGGGTTTTTTTGATGGTTTTAGGGTTGATTTTTTGTCGATTTCATCATCAGAATCGAATGGATTGGAGGTGGGTTGACTTGGGAATCGAGGTTTGTGCTGATTCGGTTTCTTGAGCCCAGACATGTTAGACTCTGCAAGCTTCGATTATGCAAAAAAACATGAAGATTAGTGTAAATTGTTTAATAATTAGAAAAGTAACAAAACGCAAATGAATTGAACACCAGAAATTAAGATGAAGAAAATGAGATGATGATTTATCAACTAAGGAATAGTATTGACTTCTAACTTCTAAGTGCTACCATCATCAGAGTAACTATCTAAATTAGGAAATTTATTCCACAACAACTCCACCAAATCAAGGATTAGTTAACCAAACAAGAAAACATCAAGAACAGATAAATTATAATAATACACGAAAAAGCTTTCTGGTTTTCTTATTCATTCTCAGCAAACAGATACCCATTAATTAAATTGAAGCAAAACCCACGAGAAAAAACGAAGAGAAGTAACAAAACTCACATGAATTACAAAACGGGAATCAAGAAGCGTAACAGAATCGGAATGGATAAAACGATGATTGTATCATATAACTGAAACTTGTATTATGCTATGGGAACCGATCGTAATAAGATAAAGTTGAAAACTAAACCTAAAAGCTCAAGAAAAAGATGAAATCGAGTACCTGTGAAATTAGGAGATACGATAGAAACCGGTGGATGCCGGAGAGAATATCCAAGTGGAAAGGGACGAGGGATATAGAGGAAGACGAAAGCGGGGGAATTGAATATTGGAAGAAAAAGTCTTTGATGACGAGTAAACCTCTCTGGGGGGTTTTAAAACTAAAATATAAAGTTTTAGATAGGTTTCTTATTAAATAATGCCCATCAAATTCTAAATACACTTATTTATATGATTTTTTTATTTAATTTTATTGATTTATACAATAATACGACTTTATTTATGGAACCATGTTTAATAAATAAACATTTAATTCTTCTTGTATTGATAATTTTTTGTAAAATAATTTTTGTATCATATAACACTTTGCATTTGAGAAAAAAAAGTGACCAATTTTTTACTTGTATGACTATAATTTACTTTATCAACAATTTTATGAAAGTGTTTTCTCGTTTGCCTATAAGGGAGGAGGGAGTCGTTCCCTCCCAACCCACCGAACCCACTGTCACATCAATTTTTCTTTATTATTTTTCTTCATCTTTCCGAACCCACAACACACGGAAATCCTATCTTTTTGAACCCACTAAACCCACTCAATTAAAAAAAATACAAAACAATTAAGGTACAAGTTTTAAAACACATGGTACAAGAGAAAATAAGAAAGAGAAAGTAGAGAGAGATGATGAAGTGGGTTAGTGAAACCAATCAACCCACTCGTTGAAGCGGGAGTGGTACCGCCGATAACTCTATTGTTAATTAAGATTTTACATTTGATTGTTTTGTATTTTTTTTTAATTGAGTTGGTTGAGTGGGTTCAAAAAGATATGATTTTCGTGTGTTGTGGGTTGAGAAAGATGAAAAACAAAAGAGAAAAAGTGATGTGGCAGTGGGTTCAGTGGGTTGGGAGGGAATGACTCCCTCCTCCCTAAGGGAAGAGGGAGTTGTTCCCTCCTCCCTAAGGGAGGAGGGAGTTGTTCCCTCCTAACCCACCGAACCCAATGAACCCACTGCCACATCAGCTTTTCTCTTTGATTTTTCTTCATCTTTCCCAACCCACAACACACGGAAATCTTATCTTTTCGAACCCACTCAACCCACTCAATTAAAAAAAATACAAAATAATCAAGGTAAAATCTTAATTAGCAATAAAGTTATCGCCGGTATCACTTCCTCTTTAGCCGGTTGTTTGATTGGTTTCACGAACCCACTTCATCCTCTCTCTCTACTTTCTCTCTCACCCAATTAAAAAAAATACAAAACAACTAAGGTACAAGTTTTATAACACATGGTACAAGAGAAAATGAGAGAGGGAAAGTAGAGAGAGATGATGAAGTGGATTCGTGAAACCAATTAACCAACCCGTTAAAGCGGGAGTGGTACCGTCGGTAACTCTATTGCTAATTAAGATTTTATCTTTGATTGTTTTGTATTTTTTTTAAATGAGTGAGTTGAGTGGGTTCAAAAAGATAGGTTTCCTTATGTTGTGGGTTGGGAAAGATGAAGAAAAATAAAAAAGAAAAAGTGATGTGGCAGTAGATTCAGTGGGTTGGGAGGAAATGACTCCCTCCCTAATAGACAATAATTTTTCAATACAATCATAATAAAACACAGGAAAATGATTCGCCGGAATTGAATTCGTGTATATGTTAACAAGCCGTGGAAAGGAATAGAATGTCAGATTTCAATTCCGTTTCGTTCTTGGAATCCGCAAATCATAGATACCCTAATTTTAGAAAGAATCATTTCGTTAATACCAAGAGAAGTCTACTTGTAGAAAAAATGTTAATAAAACACAAACCCACATAAATTCCATCACCAAACCTTTCAACACTCCAATCATAAATTGCCAAATCTAAAGCAATAATGCTTACAATAACTTATATTAATACAATATATACATTTCTTTGTATTCGACCAATTTGCGCTACAAAGAAGATATAATTAAATCAAATTCTAATTCCTACCCATAAAAACAATCTCAATAAACACAAACCAATACAATAACACTTTTAAGCGTTTGGAAGACCACGAACATTAGCAAAAGTTTTCCTTCGTTCTTTTTCAATCTTGATTGCAATAAAAAGATAAAAAAAAAATATTAGTATTTCCAAAAAAAAATAAATATATTATATATATTAATACCTGAGACTCCAACTCGGTTATTCTTTGTAAAGCTCTTTGTTCTATACATGCGCGTCTTTTATATTCTTCTTCAAGCAATCCGGTTAACTCATATCTTAACTCAGCCATTTCTTGAGCTAAATCTTCAGCTTCTTCTTTTGCCTTAAATTTTTCATCTCTTAATTGTTCCTACCAACAATTTATAACATAAAGTTCAAAAATTTGTGATACCCATTTTGTATTACACATCACTTAACCCTACATACCTTCAATTGGCTCACAAGAAGTTCATATTCATGCATTTGAAGGTTGTAGTTTTTAGTCATTTCCTGCATCTTACAATGTTCTTGAACAACTTCTTCTTGGAGTTCTTTAGCTTCAAGAAAACTATTCTCCATAGCCATTAAATCAAGATTCATGCTTTCTATGTCACATTGGTAGTCTAAAGCAACATCATGCAATTCTTGTTCTTTGTTTTCTAATTTTTCCAACAAAACCAACTTTTCCAAATTGCATGCCTTCAAATCTTGCTCTAAACTTCTCATGATTCCATCTAAATTATCTTTTGCTTTGAGTTTTGACTCTAGAATTTGGACGTAATCAGTCATGTGGTTTATTTCTGTGTCCCTTGTGTTTACTTGATCCTGCAAGTAATCTATGAGGTGTATTGCAATGAGTGAAGCCTACATGGAATTATATTGAATAAAATCTCAATATTTACATAAGAGACATTTACCTATTTCTTGTGTGCAGTTTCTTAGCTCTCTTTCTAAATCTTGTATACGTTTCTTGTCATTGGAACGATTTTGGGATAATGTTTTTGCATGTGATTCAAGGCTCTGTATCATTTAAGCTATAGGTTCATTGTCTTGATTTAAAGCATTAGACCAAATAATGACATTAATTAAGGCTTATAAACAATAAAAAAACGTTACCCGAATGAGTTCATAGCTTGATTCTTTCAGCATGTCCTTTTCTATCCTCAACTACATCCAAGAACAATGAGAAAAAACTTAGAAGTGTTACTATACTTGGATGTAAATTCTATATCTACACAAACATGAAAAAGCTTCTTAATGAGTGATATTTGATTAAAAGAATTTAGGTAATACACAACATGAAAAAACTACTTTACTTAGCAATGTTGGAATCTTTTTTATATCTCTAGTTTAAAAGAAGTAAAGTAGTAAACATTGCCATATGTGTTTTGTTGATGTCTTATTTCTTATTCGTTGTTTAATGAGGCTTAGAAAAGGTTTCATTTCATCAATGATTTGATTATCTTTATTGGGTGCCTTTTCTTTTTTTATCTTGAATATAAATAAGGTGCTTACAACACAACCAAAAAACAGGACCATAAAAGTTTACAAACTATCTTTGACATGGGAATTGAACAACAAATGTACCTCTTTACATCTCGCTTCAAACTGTAATAACTCCTCATCGTCCACAAAGCAACTACTGCCACTACTAGAACAACTGGACATCTACAACACAGAGACATTAAAACACATATGATCAAAAGATCGGTTCTTTATCTTAAATCTCATCTACCCACAAACGAAAACAAAAAACTGTTTGTCAAGCCACGAAAACAAAATAGAAAGTGATAACAAATGCTGAAATATTCATTCAAGCCATAATCATTCCGACATTGTTGTCTCCTTCTCTATCGAGTGTATTCGTAATCGAACCAGCTCTATAAGCAGATAAAATATCGAAATTTCTCCGATAATAATCGAGAGATATAACAATACGGAACATACATTGAAATTACCCAACAGAGAGAAAGAGGACAAACCGTTTCTTCTAGGGTTTTGATTTAGATGACGTGAATCGGCGAAATTAAATCGAATTTGTGATAAAATAGGGGAGATTTGTGATCTATAGGTACGTACGAGTTACAGGAAACAGAATCTAATGGATGAATATTGGGGATTTCAGATTTGCGTATGTTTATGTGTATACTTGCAATTTGAGTAAAAAGGTTTTTGTAAACAATATTTGACATGCGTGCAGTCAAAATCTGATTTTCCTTCCAACCTGACTTTCATATAATTTATTTTAAACAAAATTACATAAATGGTCCCTTTGCTTTCGAAAAATCACAAATTTAGGCTAAATTTTATTTTGTTAACAGAGTGCTTATGGTATCCTTGCGAAATGGTTTCATTTTATATTATTTGCTTTAAATTTATTATTCTATCTTTTTTTATGTGTATCTCATTTATATTTATATTGTATTAGGTTATACGGAGTGGACTTGGAAAAGAGCTCACCATGTCTACGTGGACTCAGTGCATACAACGTCTCATGCTCCGCAAAGACTATTTGGCAACGTAAATCGGCACCCCTCTTTCGAGTATCTCTCCTTCTACACTTGATTCGCCTTTTCTTCTCCTGAACTCGATAGCTCACCACTTCTCTTCTCCTTCTCTTCTTCAAGAATTTCCTCTTCTTTGCTGAGCTCGGGACCTCAACACTACTCCCTTCAGCCTTAAGGTTGACCTTATAACATCTTTAATGTGGAATTTTTTTATAGTTTATTGCTATTGATTTTTTATTGACTATTTTATTTCATTGGAGCATATTTTTTTAATTGACCGTTCAATATACATTGAGTTATCAATATACTTTTAAGTTTTGTATATTTTGAAAGATCTTTATGCCCAGAATCATTATAAAATGATATTTGCTAATGACATAAACTATTTACAACAAGTTACTAATTGATAACTTATTAGATTAATTTTGATTATTAATAAATATCAGCACTTGTATTTAATTGGAAAAACAAAATTTTATGAAAATAATATTTTATCATCATATTGGAAATTATTATTTCTAGGAAATAATAATATAGAGAAAAAAAACTAGTAAATATCATATGATATAAATATGAAGGTTATGTACAATATTTTGGGCACTTAGAGTAAACCATTTACTTGCAATGTAACCACTAGTTATGAGATGGAGTAAGACACACACTTTGGTCTTGACTTTCCTTGCCAAAACCATGTATTCCTTTATGGAGTCAGAGATTGATTATAGTGTTGCTTCTTACATCCTTACATGTCATAAGATGGAGCCATACTTTCATGTATTACTTGCTAGACTTTGGTACATATTTGTATGTATAAAAGGAAGGTATTACTAGTAAGAAAGGGTTGATCTTTTGGTTTATTTTCCTTCTTCTTTGGCTGCCATTTTCGAGAATACGAAGCCTCTCTCACTCTCTTCTTTCTTGCAATTTGGTGCATGAACTAAGTGTTCATAAGTTGTTTCTCCTTAAGGCTTATTTGATATAAGTCTTAATAGATTAAGAACGACTTAATAGAAGTGAAGACTAGCATCTTTAAGTGGTTTGCTTTTGCTTTATGGATACTTCTAGAGAAGCTCTATTTTGAGTCTTTTTCCATCTTCATCAACTTCCAACCTCCTGAGAAGAATCAAAGTCTTCAAAGGTTGTAGCTCTTTCTTCTTATGGTTGTGTTAATCTTTCCATGCTTTGTAAGATGATCCTGGTGGAGGATTTACTATGATGATATAGATGTTTCTAACATCATACTGGGAATAGTTATTCATGACTTCCAGGAAGTCTTTGGATAACTTAGATGTATATCAAATGTTCCGAAAGGTTAAACAGATATTCCAACAATACAATGATATTTGTTTTGAGCCACTTTAAACAATGGAAGAATGTAATGCTGAAAAGAATCATCATGTGTGATCTAAGAGGCTCATAGTTTACGGAAATGATACATATAAACCCAAGAAATCCAGAAAGGCCCATAAAGATGGATTGTGTTTTTATTGTCAAGAAGCAAGACACTGGAAGAGGACTTGTCCCTCTTATTTGAGAAATATTGGTCGGGCCAGTAATTCAAGTATCTATTAGGTAGAACTTATACTTAGTAGTCAAGTACTTGATACTTAATGTTAATCTAATATTTGTAAATATTTACAGATATTCCAAAAGAGTAAGAAGCAAGTTGAAACTTCACTATTGGAGTTTAGTTTATTATTTATGCTTAGAACATAAATTACTCGCTACAAGAAAAATGGCTTACACCCACAATTTTTTAAGGCCTAAAAAATGTGACCGGATCCTACCGTCACACTTATTTATTTATTTTTTTGTCAAAAGTATGACCGTATGTCGTGACATCATAGGTATCTTACGTCCACATTAAAATTCAACATTTATGTATGGATACCTTTTAGTCACATATAAAGTGAGCCGAGTTTGTGTTAACCATGGTTAGTTTATATTTGATGTGACTATTGCTTACCATTTAGTCACGTTAATTTATTTTAAATTGTGACGTATGATATCATTTGTAACGTCCGTGTTTCGAGACTAAGCATTGGTACGATGATGTAATAGTTAGGGTCAACAAATATAACTTATTTTAAAGTAATAAAGAGGAATTACTTGAATTATGTGATGTTATGTGCATTATACTTATTTATAAGATATAATAAATTAAGAATGAAAATAAGCGTCAAAAATAAAAATATAGATAAACCTGATATCTATGAAGAAATTTGCAGTGGTCGTGACAAGGATTCCGGAGATATAAAAATGCCGAAATCCGAGCTATAACGAAGAAGTTATGACATGTCGAAGTTTCGTGACAAGAACGGCACGACGCTGTGTGACGTAAAAAGTGAGTTTACGATAAAGTGTTTTTTAGCCTTAGCGATCTAAACGAAATTCGTAGTATACGTTAAACCAAGAGCGGACATAAAAACATGTTCAAATCTGACTTCGTGTGAGGAAGTTATGAATTTTCTAAGATTTGGCATAGCAGTGTGCAACCCGGAGTTCGAATTTTAGATCAAGCGATTTTTAGCCGGCACAACCTAAACGAGAATCAAATATCTCGTCAATAGGAGCTCAAAAATAAAAAGACAGAAGAAATCGGACGTCGGATGGCAAAGTTATGAATTTTTAACGGACTTTTCTTGTCCCGACCTGTTAAAAATATAACTTTAAAAATAAAGTCAGAATTAGCCGACAGAGTCTAAACGAATGTTGTAGAGTACGTCTCTACCTACACGTGGATATAAAGAACGTCGAAAACGGAGCTCGTATACGAAAGTTACGAATTTTAGAAGTCGAGAGAAGAAATTGCAAAGTTGTCCGAGGGGGAACACCCCGCGTAGAGGGAAGGAACGCCCCGCGTTCGCAAAGACTAGGCCTCGATTCGACCACGTCGCTCCAGCCGTAGGATGACACGCATTTGTACGAACCCGCTCCTACGCGCTGCGTTCGCAGGAACACCCTGAGCTCCGGAACGCGCTGCGCTCCTCGCAGGAACGCCCTGCGTACCGAGGCTTCAGCCAACTATAAAAGGAGGTGTGAGGCCAGCCCTTATTCTTCACTCCTTACCCATTCTTCTTCTCTCTACTCTCTCTACTCTCTCTCTCTCTCTCTCTCTCTCTATCTAAACACTCCCCAACCCATAGAATCTTCCTAGTGTTAGGAGAAGGCTCCGGAGCGCCCGAAGGATCCGAGAAAAAGAGTTTTTCGGCTCAGAAAGCTCCGCCCCCGCAGAGCCCAGTTTTCAGCAAACCACCCGGTTTCGTAAAAGGAAATCATATTTTTAAGAAGCGAAGCGCTGCCCGAGTTAAAATCACCACCTTATCAAGTGAGTGCATAGTTCCTTTCATGAACATGATTTTAGTACAAGTATTAGATTATATGTTTATGTGTGGAACATTTGATACTGTCTGAAATACGTGTTAAGAGCATATCTGGTAAATATATGATGATTTAGGATGCAGAGTAGACCTAAATAAATTAAGAGGGACATTGGGTAGTATCTCCTTGTGAGTACGAGTGAGATATACACGGAGGGAATAAGCTTAAAACTTGTCATTGATCCGAGAGTATGGATTAGACTTAGTCAGTTGTCCTTAGTCCGATAGTATGGATAGGACATAGTTATTTGCTATTAGATCCGGGAGTATGGATCAGACATACCCAATCCGGGAGTATGGATTAGGTAAAGAGGAAAATTTTAGATCCGGGAGTATGGATCAGACATACCCGATCTGGGAGTATGGATTAGGTAAAGAGGCAAATTTTAGATCCGGGAGTATGGATCAGACATACCCGATCTGGGAGTATGGATTATGTAAAGAGGCAAATTTTAGATCTGGGAGTATGGATTAGACATACCCGATCCGGGGGTATGGATTAAGTAAAGAGGTAAATTTTAGATCCGGGAGTATGGATTAAGTAAAGAGGTAAATTTTAGATCTGGGAGTATGTATTAAGTAAAGAGGTAAATTTTAGATCCGAGAGAATAGATTAAGTAAAGAGGTAAATTTTAGATCCCGGAGTATGGATTAAGTAAAGAGGTAAATTTTAGATCCGGGAGTATAGATTAAGTAAAGAGATAAATTTTAGATCTGGGAGTATGAATTAGGTAAAGAGGTTAATTTTAGAGTATAGATCGTATCGTTGTGAGGATCGATGGGGTGGGGTAAAGTTGCTTATATATGGTGAAATTGTATATGATATAACATTGTGGGATTGAAAACCCTATGTACTCACCAGGTTTCCCAACCTGACCCACTCAATTTATTTGTATCACATGTGTCGGTACGAAGTTACACTACATTGAGAGATTAAAGGAAATGTAAATCACTAGTGTAAATGAATGTAAGGTCTGTTTATGTTTATGTTTCTGTATTGACGATGACATCCCAAAGTTTTAATATAAACCAAATATATTTCTTCGGAAATGCTTTGATAATATCTCTATCATGTTTTTCTAGGAACAAATTCCGCAACACTTTTCTTTAAAAATGATACTCTGATTTCCAAATAAAGCATAAACAAATCGGTCTTTTCTGGCCGTGAAATTGGGGATGTCACATCATTTAGTCACATAAAAAAACTCATAAAGAAAATAATGTGACCATTGGTTGGGTATTAGTGATACATAATTGTTAAAACCATCGCTGAATATTACTTATAATAACACTTGTTTTCTAAATGATACACCCATTTATTACCCTTTAGTGACATTCATTTACGGTAAAGCGTGACATATGAAATCTTTTAGTTACATGAACAAAACACATAAAGAACAAAATGTGACCATTGTTTGCTTTCTGTGATACATAATTGTTAAAATCATCATTGAATAGTACGTATAGCAACACATTTTTCGGAATGATGTGGCTATTTGTTACCATTTAGTGGCATTTATTTACGTTATATTGTGACATATGATATCATTTAGCCACATAAAGATAACTCATAAAAAAGAATGTGGCCATTGTTTGCTTTTGGTGATACATAATTGTTAAAACCATCACTATACATTAGTTAGACAAAATTGTAAAAATGGTCCCTGTGGTATGCATTTTTTTGGGGTTTTGGTCCAAACCCTGACTTTTTTGGATTGACGGTCCTTTTGAGCTACTTTATTTGTGGTTTTGGTCCCTCGTAAAATTAAAAAGCCAAAAATACCTTTTTCATACATTTTTTATGTTTTTTTCTATTTAATATAAAGTTTTATTAATAAAAATTATGGGACCCACCTCTCTCTCTCTCTCTCTCTCTCTCTCTTCTTCTTCTTCTTCTTCTTCTTCTTCTTCTCCTTCTTCTTTTTCAAAAATCCATAAAACCTCGCTTATCCTTCTCCCATTTTCTCCACCTTTAACCACCATTACTCCACCATAGCATCACCACTGCCACCACCTCCTTCCCCACCGTAAACCACCATCCCCACCCTACTGTTTCTGCTGGAGCTCTTTCCTCCTCTACCTGCAGCCTGCACTACCAAGAAACACCACCACCAAGGGTGGTGTTGCTGCTGTGTAACCACCAAGAACCACCGTGGTTCTCCCTCTCATGCCACTGACCGGAGAAGGCTGCCAGGCACCACCCATCACCACCTCCCCTCGTTACTTTGCCCCGTTTCTCACTTCACCGGGGAAGAGGACCACCACAGCCAACGGTGGCAATCCCTCCACCTCCATCCTGTCGTAACCCACCACCACCAAACGCCATCGTCGCTGTTGCTTCGTCTTGATCCCTCGCCGAGCATCCGCCAATAGAAATAAAGCAGCAAGGCCGCCCACAGCCACCAACCACAGATACCCATCGTCGTAGCTGTCCTTCCATCGTCGCTGCAGTCCACCACCTGCGACCCACCATTCCTCCGAGTTTCCATTTGGGGTTAAGAATGTGATTTAAAGAGGTAGAAAGATGGATGGTGGCAGCGGTGTTTCCTGGTGGCCGGAAAACAGCTCCACCTCCGGTGGGGTGTTCTTGATTGTAAATGAAGAAGAAGGTGGGGGGGGGGAAGTTGGCTGGCGAGAGAGAGAGAGAGAGAGAGAGAGAGAGAGAGAGGGAGAGACTATCTTTATTTATTATATAAAAACACTTATAAAAAAAGAAAATGGAAAATAAATCTAATAAGGGCAATTTAGTCATTTCAATTTTACGAGGGACCAAATCTACGTACAAACATGGCCAAAAGGACCACAAAGCCAAAAAAAGTCGGGGTTTTGACCAAAACCCCCAAAAAATGCATACCACAGGGACCATTTTTGCAATTTTGTTTATTAGTTATAGCAACGTATAGTTTCTAAATGATGTGACTATTTGTTACCTTTAGTTACATTCTTTTATGTAAAAGCGTGACGTATGATATCATTTAGTCACATAAAGAAAATCATAAAGAAAAAATGTGATCATTGTTTGCGTTTGGTGATACATAATTGTTAAAACCATCACATTTTATCTAATTGGTGTGGTTATTTGTTACCCTTTAGCCACATTTAATTTTGTGATCGTGGTTCTAATTAACATTCGGTAACGTTTATTAATGGACGACGAGAATATTAAATGTTGCAAATATATTCTATAAGAGCAAACAAGAATAAAAGAAAATAACATTAATCATAAAGCCAACTTAAATAATATACAAAAATGTTGTAAGCAAAATATACCTAGCATGTATACAAACAAAAAATGAAATGTAAGTCATAAAACGAAAGCTACATTAATTCTTCATCCTATTAACCATGCTCCTTGTCTTTAACACCTTAGGTTTTATGTATGATATTTTGTTTTTTTTAGAGTTGACAATTTTACCCTCCTTACTTGAAGTTGTAGCCAGTACCTGTAGCAACACAATTTATACGTATCGTCAAAAATTAAAACAAAAATGATAAAAAGAAAAAATACTTGAAAAGATATAACATAATAAACAAACATGTCCATGTAATATGGCAAGGTCTTTTGTCCAAGCAACAAAATCTTTATGTGTTTTTCCAACTAATTTGTGTTCAGTAGTTTGATTTGGTAAATATGAATTATCCTTTAACACTTCTTCAATAGACACCTTATAGCAATCATCTTTCAGTGGAATCTCATGAAGATATTCCATTTCTATTGAGAAGTAAGCTATATCACGGGCAACAAGATTTTTTTGATATTGGTTCCTACTATGTATAAATCACACTTTTATCCCCTACAATGAATTATAGAATAATAAGAACAAATATATATATATATATATATATATATATATATATATATATATATATATATATAGGATGATGCAGTACATACTTGTATATATTTTGGTGCCTGATTTTGTGGTGTTTTTGGCTGCATACTTATTTTCCGAGGTTTTTCAAATTCCTGAAAACCATAAATGTACTCGTATATGTGGAATCTTAAATTACTAGAAATAGTATATTAAAAGTTTTGAACTTGTCAAGTTTTTACTTATTGGTATTACTGATTTGTTTTGTCTTGTTTGTATTTTTTTTCTGCGTTGGAGTACATTCAGATGCAACAATATTGTCCACAAAAATTACCTGCATTGGAGTACATTCAGATGCAACAATATTGTCCACAAAAATTACCTGCATAGATAAAGAAGAAAAGTATAAGTAGGCTTTATGTAAATAAAAAAATTAATCAATCTTCGTAAAAGAATGTTAACTTATTACTTATTGATGTTATGGAATCATTTGTTAACTTATTACTTATTGATGTTATGGAATCATTTGTATGTGATTTGTTTTTGTTATTGATTGGAGTGGTCTCCAATTCAACATTTTTGCCCGCAGATGACATTACCTACATAAATAAAGAAAAAAAAAGTATAAGTATAGTTTATGTGAATAAACTAAAATCAATATTATGCATTATAACAATGTGTGGTAATTACTTTCTGGTGTTGATGATACCTTTGATATTGTTTTATATTTGGTTGGGACTGGAGTGGGCTCTAATTCATCATTCTTGCCCACTATGAAATTACATTTCATAAATAAATAAGAAAAGTATAGCTATCTTTTATCTAAATAACATAAATCATTTTTTTGTAGTATAAGGATGTTAACTTATTACTTACATGTCATGATGCTTTATTTGTCTTTGTTAGGTTATTGTCACAGATTGTAGTGGGCTCTAATTCAACACTCTTGTCCACCGATAAAAGTACATACATAAAAAAAGAGGAAAACTATAACTATAGCTCACGTAAATTAAAAAAATAAACAAACTTCTTTTTTATGGATATTAAGTAACATACTGAAATTTCTAATGGGTTGAAGGGGTAAAAAGGAGACTTCACTTACTTCTGATTTAGACAAATCTTCTGGAATTGAAAGACCTGGTACCTTAATCCCTTGAGTTTTAAGTGCATACAAAGCTTGTTTTAACATTTCGTTTTGTTTCATCACTTCCCTTAGTTTATCATCTTTTTCCGCACTCTTTTTTTCATGTTATCTAATTCATTTTTAGTTCGCTCATCTTGTTGCTGGAAGATCTCTTATTTCTCTACAGATTGAAATACTTGTTTCGTGTAACTCCGAAGCCAACCCCCTTGAAGGACCTACCTTTTTCGTTGCCAAATACTAGTGTCATGACATCCATGTCCTTATCAAGCTGCAAGTTCCCTTCTCAAAGTTCTTTTTCTTTTTCAAGCTAAACATAAAACTTGTCAACAAAATGGTCAAATAACATATACTTATCAAAACGGTATAAAATTTCATAAAACTTACAATCTCATCTACTTTCACTTTAGCTTCCGGGTCAATAATGTGGTCTTCTTTATTTTGATATGCTTTACACCACATATATGGCCGGGGGGGGGGGGGGGGCTGGTCATATTTGTCAATTACTTTATTTTCAATCTTGTAGTCATTTACAAAAAAAAAAAAACAATTATTAAATCAAACACAAGTACTCACGATTAAATAATATAGTGAACATACCGATTTCTCATGTACATAACAATATCCCCATCGTCCCATGCTCTGATGATAAGGCAAATTGGCACGTGTTGCCACGTTTCTTTTCGACACATCCTTTAAATAGTAATATATGTCAATGAAATCATTAGTTTTTTCTTAAAGAATATAATAAAATTTAAAATTAAACGAAAATCTGCAATTTATATTTGGAATTATTCTGATTTTGTATGTTCTACATAAGCATCTTATTTCTTTTTATCAAGGATGAAAGAATGTATTCATTCGGGATTGTTTTTTAAGTCCATCAACATTTTCTATGAAGATTAAAATTGGTATATTTTTGGTAGTGACAATGAATATGAATTCTCGCTTTCTATTAGAGGCGAAAATCATCCTGCAAACGTTTTCCTAATCCCACGTTCGCTCTTTACTTGTGTCGATAAATTCAAAACGCTTCCAAAATATGATATGATACATACTTGTTTATCCTAAAATTGTTTTCAAAATTTTTAAAAATTCAGAAAATGATGTGGCGAGTTCTTTTAAATATATTAAAAATAATTACATTATTGATCCTTTTAGATTAATAGTTCAATTTAGCCTACAAATGCATAAAATTTTAAATGAATACAAATTATTTTTATATATTATAAATAATGTAATACCTAGACAAAAATGGAAATAATGTAATAATAATAATAATTTTTTAAAATATTAAAATTATAAATTTAAATATGAATAATTCAAATAAAATTATTTTAATGTCATTTTCAAGATGTGTTATGGGTCGTATCCAATATGAACCCTACTACCAACATCAAAGAACCAACCCACAACCCTAGGCCCAACCATATACAATTTATCTACTCAATTGTGTTATATGGAGTGTATACATGCAACATGGGTCATGGGTCGTATCCAACATGCACCTTACCAACAATATCAGAGAACCAACCCATAACCCTAGACCCAACCACATACAATATATCTACTTAATTGCGGTATATAGAGTGTATACATGAACGATGGATCGAGGGTCGTATCCAACATGCACCCTACCAACAAGATCAAAGAACCATCCCACAACCCTACACCCAACTACACATATAACCGAGTTAGATTTCGAGGACGAAATCCAGTTTAAGTGGGGGAGAATTATAACACCTAGTTTTAAGACGCTTCTAATATCGGGATAACAAGTTGTAAATGGATCAAATAAAGATCTTGGGCTTCAAGGGAGTAGAGTTTAAACCCTATCGGATGTTGATAATGTTGGATTAAGTGATTAAAGCCCTCTAATTATGCTTTGAAGCAAAGGGGTAAAATGGAAAAAGTAATATTTCGGGCTTCTTGCATGGATTATGGTTTTAGTTTGACATGTATTAAGTCAAAAGTAATTAGATAGGTTGTGGGGCTCATCAATACATTTTCGTACATATAAAGATCGCCGAAAATGAAGTTGAAACGAAGAAGTTATGAATGCTTGAAGTAGGAGTGGAATCGAAAACCGGTCGCCACGATGTGGGGAGCAGGTCCCCATGACGTGATGAGTCACGACGAGGTGACAAGCAGGCTACCACGAGATGACTGATGGGCAGCCTAAACCCATGAGTTTTTAGGGTAGACAATAGAAGTGGTTACAAGAAGGACAATCTAGGGTACACATTGGTTAACCTAAATAATTTAGGCCAAAACATTGATCCCTTCATATTGGCCTCACAAGCAAAACAAGTATTTCACGTGACCGATCAACTAGACAAAAAATGTCTATTGTGTTCAAGAAACTTCCCGAAAATTATAGATATGCATATGAGGATGTGGATGAGGAATTTAGAACTGAAGTTTTTCCTTAAAATGATAATATATTATCACATGTAGACCCACAAGATTTGTATAAGGAATCTTGAAATGATTATTTTCGGACCGACTGTCGTGGTATTTTTTTACGTAAGGTTTG